AGTGATTTTCATCATGCTAGATGGATGTCTAAAGCAATTTATTCGTTAAAAATATTTATGTTCAGAAAACAGCTTAAAATACGAGAAGAACATGCATTTCGTAATATTTGTGTATTTTTGGTAAAAGTTTATGTCAAAGCTTGGTTTAAGGGATCTATTGCCATACAATCAGCATTTAATGATTTATGTTTCTTAAAAGTTTTAATTTATTATCCTGATTCTTTTATATATAAAGCTGCAACAAAGAAATTTACCGGACAGTGTACCGACAGATATTAAACTAAAAAAGGTTGAGACATCAAGAGAGACATCACAAAAACAAGATAAAAAAAATTACAATAAACCTAAATGATACTAAACTATTTAAAAAAAAAAACATGATAGATTTTTTGGAAACTCATCCTCATAGCTAGGTTGAAAATCCTGATTTTCAAAATGGTTTGAAAGTTTTATCTAATCCTCTTGTGACAAACGATATAGCAGAGAGAGGTGTAAAACGTATGCAAGAATACAATGAAATATTAACTAATGATGATGAACAAAAACAGTTTCTNCATATGCAAGAATACAAAGAAGTATTAACTAATGATGATGAACAAAAACAGTTTCTACTACAAGTCGTTAATGATAATAATGATAGATCACAATTTGGAGATTGTACTAAAAATTTATTGATGAATAATAACAATTAATAATCCTATCATAAACAAAATTTTTTTTATATTGTGACTACTAGAAGAATTATTTTTAATGTTATTTAATTATATAATATTTTATGAGCATTAAGATCATTTTTCATATTATTTTTAGAATTTCATTATTGGTTTACTTATTTTATTTGAGTTTGAAAAAATAAAAAAAAATCGTTATTTTTTAAATTATCATAGAAAAATGATTGTTATCTATAAGTTTTCTTTATTACCTCGCCAGAAAATACGTAAAACAATTTTATTTTTCTACAAAACTTATAGAAAATTAAATTTCAAATAACTTTTACATGAAAATTTATTTTATAACTTGAACGGTTCATCGTATATACTTAAATTGCCGAAATATATGAATTTTACTGGTAAACATAATATTTATGGAACTTTTGACTTTTAGGAGGTAAATATTTGACTTATG